CATGTACATGTACAGTGGTGTTAGCTACATTTACATGTACATCAGCAGAAGACTGGAAATTTAAAGTGTCCCATGACTGAACCATCTTGTGCGCATACAAGTATTTGTGGAATGCATACATGTACATTGCTTACCCCAAAATTACATGTACATGCATGTGTACATGTACAGTATGTCAGATGATCAGCTTTACCCATAGTGTGTGGCTGAATGGGGATACTTGCTCAATAGCTTACATGTACATGTTTGTAATACATAATCTCTACATGTACAGTGTACATGTGACATGTACATGTACATGCACTGACACATGTATGTGTGTGTGGACATGTGATACTGGTACACCTGTACTTACTTGCAAGTGTTGATTACTCATGAATATTTACATTGTGACCCGATGTGCATGTGTTCTATCATGAGCATGTCAAGAATTCCAAAGTTCCAAGAGCAACCATATGGGGGAATTGGTGAGACGTCATTGTACACGTGTCTGGACGTGCCTACATGTACTGTTCATGTGCATGTGAGTGAGCATGCACCTTTAGCATGCCAAACTTCTTTAATTTGCCTTTATTGGGTTATGTTTTACCGGTGATTAGTACATGTCATTTTGAAGTGAAAAAAAAAAATCAAATTGATGTGCATGAGTGAATTTGATGAAATGTTCAATAATTGCTGGTGTGTCACAGGTATTTGATGGAGGGACCTGGATATTTTGTCCTTTCTAATAAAATATTCTGTCGTTGTGGAGTATCCTGTATGTACATTGTAACACATTTTCAATTAAATTTTTTTTAGCCTGAATACCATATGTACACGTAGGCTATTCAGTACTTGTTTTATAAATTATATGTACATGTGACATGTTGCCAAATCATACGTTTACATCCAAAGAATAAAAAAAGGAAATTTACGATTGTGGAACATGTGGCTTAATCTCGTTCCCTGTATGCAACATTGTGGAAGTCTTGTCACATAAACCACATGTACACATACTGTACATGTAGGCCTATACGTATTTTGTCACTTTGTATAAAAAGAGAGCTTTTTTGTACACAGTCATTGCACTTGTTAAGCTTTATTAATTAACCCTAACCGCTGAGCATGTTGTTTGGCTTACACTACACATTACTACAAAATACTAAGTAGTAGTCTGAGCCTGAAGGACCTAACACTACAGATTACTACTTCTGGCTAGGTTACTTCCATTGTTACCTCTACAGAGAACAATAAAGCCATGCATTCATAGTGCCACAGCACTGTATAGTACATTGTCTTATCTATTGTATCTTATGGCTTCACAGAACAATAAAGTCATGTCCTCTTACAAGCGACAGCACTCAGTACTACATTTTACTACAAGTAGTAATTTGTAGTGTTATGTAGGGTTGGGTTAACAATCAAAGTTAACCATAATAGATTATTTGTGTTAGAAAAATGTGTGTTGTATCCTAGAATTGTTTGTTTTTGTTTTTTTTTTTTTTCTTATTGACATGCAAATGCCCGAAAAGTGAAAAATTTGCTGGCACCCAAAATGCTCTGGAATATTTATGACATGAATGTCATTGGCAGTTGTACATTATATCTTCTGAAGGGTTTTTTATTGTGTTAGCATAAAATGCATCCCATGCAAAGGTGTCTTTCACCCCCTAGTACATGTAGCAGTCAACCCTTTACAGATTCAAAGTATTGATGGCAGGGATTCGAAACCACAAGATGTCTTCCTGACAGCTGACACTGCCACTGATCAAAAGGTGCTTTATGAAGCCCCCACAATTGGGTTTACAAATTGGGCCACTGGCAGAGAAAAGAGGCCTTCTCTATCTGGACATCAAGAGCAAAACCGAGACAGTTTCTTTGAATGGAATCTTTTGATATTACCACATGTAGCCACTTTCTGCATGAAAAGTAAAACTTCATGGAAAATGAATATCTTCAGTGTTTATCTTCTGGTTTACGAAAACCATTTTATGAACAAGAGCTACATTTAGAATTCCCCTTTGTTCAGTATACATCAACTCTCGATCAGAATTTCCTGTGCAGTTCAGGAAAAGTACCCGTACACGCACTATTATTCCAATAGTTATTTTTCATGATTCGTATGTAAATAATTTTCGTGCTGTGAGGTTTTACATTATCAGTTCACCTTTTTCATTTAGATCCAAATAAATGATAAATTAACCTAATGTAAACATCAGCTCGGCCCACAAATGAAAATGGAAAAAGCAGTGGCTCGAAATCGAAGAGTTTAAAGAGTGGTTCATGTACATACTGGTAGTTCTTAAAATTTGCTGTCATTTGTCTTCATGTGTAGAAGTGGAACTCAAGAATTGTATTTTTCCCTCATGGGTTTGTAAGGTTTTTCTGTTCAAGGTTTTGTAAAGTTAAGAAAATTGGTTTGCCAAACTGACTTGTTGTGCAATCAATTTTGAAAACAAAGTGACCTACGTGTAAGAGAAATCTAGTTGCCAGAAGCTATAATTAACGGTTGAAATTTTGAAATACTGATGTTCACAGTGACAATGGGCAATGAATGAGTACTGTAGCATTGGGTTGGATACTCAGTGCTATTTTGGTTGTAACCATGACGTCTCTGAGAAATGTTTGAATATTAATGTTTTTTCTCTTTTCCTTTGTTGCAGGGCTACATAAAGGACACACCAACTATTTTATTCAAAGGAAGAAAAGGGGTAAGTCCATGAGTTGTGTGTTTCTGCAATCTTAAAAATGGAAAATCTTGATTAGATGTTAGAATTTCCTGTCCTTATGTGCAATTCGAACATAAGTCTGTGATTGCATCATCGACTGCTACATAAGATTCAAAGTACTGTTTTGACCCTTGACCCCTCCCCCAAGATGGGCAAGGATAGGATTCTTGTAATAGTTTTTAGAGTGACCTGATGTGAAGGTGAGAAGCAGATTCAGATTGAACTTGGCACCCTCAATATGTAGTTTCTCATTGCCACTTGAAAGTAACAATAACATAACAATCAGGTCCTAATGAACCTAAATACATGTACATGTATGTACATGTACATTGGTACAGTACATGTATGTGTACTGTAGTGGTACATGTACATGTATGGATGGCCTGCAGATCCTAAGCATTGATTCAAGTGGTCGGGACATCTGCACTGTTAAGCATTGTAAAATATGTCAGATCCATATACGTGTACATGTACACAGCATCGAGGGGTGCTACATGTATTTTCAAACATTTGCTTGGAGTGGACTGGCCGTTTTTAATCTTTGATGGAAAGGGACAAGCAAATACTGTATTTCAATCCCAGATCATACCCTGATCCAATTTGAGTCACTAGAATCCCAATTGTTCTTATTCTCTTGAATAAAACATGTAAGTATTATCCAAGAGCAGGGGTGTAGCCATGGGGGACCTCCCCCCTCAAGAAAAATTCCCGGTGCCACTCCCCCCCTTGAAAAAAATGGATGAATGGATGTTGAACAAGGCTAACAAAGCTTGCCCCAAAAAACCACACCACAGAAAACTGGTGCCCCCCATAAGAGGCTGGTGCCCCCCATAAGATGCTGGTGTTCCTTTGTGGCCCCCTCCCAGTAGTAAAATCCTAGCTACTTGATGTACATGTATGTTGCTGTCCAAAAAAAATTACATTTATTGTATAATGACAAAACTGCAAATAAAACAAACATGCAGTGTATGCTATGAAAAAGGGGTTGACCATTGCTGGTCTCATCTTTAAAAAGTACAGCCAATAATTTCGTGCTTTAATTAATATAATTTGATAAGTTACAATCAAAAAAACATTCTTAGCTTTTTATACTTACTCTGCCCTCTGATCCAACAGATATGACAGATATTGTGCTATTTCTGTAATCAAATAAAATTTTTAAAAAGTTGGCCTTGTCGTCAATATGGGTCTTCTCTGCATTTGAGGAGGCCATTTTCAGGGAAATTGCAACTGATCATATTTGGCTGTCCAAAGAGTTTCATAAAGCCAAACAAACAAATAGTTGTGCTTCCTGTTATGTTTGGAAAAAATAGTTACGGAAGGTGGGTAGTATCTTTTTGGGGGAGGGGGGTCCAAAATTTTAGGGTTGGAGGTTTTTTTTTTATTTATTTGTTAATTTAAAAGTGATGTTTCTTGAAATTTTTTCAGCTGCGTAAAAAAGGTTTTGATTCGAAGATGACAAGCAGCAAAAACTGGAATGTAATATCTGTGGCCAAGTGGCTTAAAATGGCTTTAGAGAAGCAGGTTGGATTTGAATAACCCAGATGGAAACTATTATCTACAAAAACATGCCTTTATCTACAAAATCATGCCTTTATCTACAAAATCATGCCTTTATTTACATGAAATGAAAGACACAGATATTCACTAATACAGATTAAACTTGTACAAAAATATAAATAAAACGAACAAAAAGCACCTTGTATGTATGTATGTACATGTATGCGTTGTGTCCCTGAGTCATTCAATTTGTCTGTTGTTATAACATGCTTACATTGTTTGGCAAGACCAGTTTCGGAAAGAGCAGATCAAAGGGTTGGGGGCATGTCCCTAAAGGTCAGCGTCATGTCGACGTCAATCCTTTCAGTGAACTTGAGAATGGTGCTAGCGAAGGCGTTTACAAAGTTGCTATCGATTTTTTGATGAAGAAGTTTGAAACTCATATGCAAAGTATCACTGTACTCAACCTCGTTATTTTTACTTGCTGAAATGTGAGCATTTCCCAAATTCCAAGGTGAACATTCCTCCTCCTGCCCGTAGCATGTTGTCCACTGATATGACGTGAGCAAGCACAACGTGCTCACTTCAAGCTTGCATGACATGCGAGCGAGCACAATACGTAGTCTGAGGCCCAGACTGACTGCTTTTTCATTTAATACCAATAATAGTTTCCGTACGGGGAGCAGCACAAATAGCAGCAACAGATAATAGAGGGCGTCATGTTAAAACTTGGAAATGACCCTGCGTCATACATGTGGCATGTGCTTGCATGGTGCTTGATCACGACCGGCATTGCCACAACTAACATTACCGCGAGAAATTAACTTGTGAGAAAAACATCAATTTTCAAACCAAAAAAACGTAAAAATCTAAAACAATTGCAAAGCTTTTTTGTTTAAAAATTAGGACGAGGTTGGTAGTGTAGTTTTTATTTTTTTTTCAGTGAAAAGATTTAGGGTCGTTGCAATTTGCTAGATTGGGGAGGGTAAGCGGAAGCACATTTATTTTGTTTGGCCTAAGTACCCATGTACAGTGTACTTTCCCAGTTGGATTTCCCTTGTACACTGATCCAGCTCTCCAGAAACCTGAACTTCCTTCCAGGCAAATGTGCACTGCCCTGGGGACAGCCATTTTATGCAGGTTTGAAGTCTTGTTGAATGATTCAGCGCTTACCTATTGTTTCCTTTGCAGAAGGGGGGAGGGGTAGGGTTTGTCATTTTGTCCCACTTTTATTTGATCCCTGGAGGTTGTAGCCCAGAACTGATGATAGGAGATATGACGCATTAGCCTGACTCAGCAGTCACAAGCATTCAACTTGCCAGCAGCAAACATAAATTATGAACTAGGGTGTTTTCTTCAGCAGACTCACTTTGTACTAAATCATCTCCACTTTAGCTTCTCATCATGAAATTCGGAGACATCTAAAAAAATGTGAAGACAATTACTTGGCAGGAGTTTGGAGGAAGGACTGCAACAGTGCGTGCTTGTTTGAATTCTTAAGCTTTCCCTGGATTCTTCTGTCTCCACCCACTCCCCGGATTCTTCTGTCTCCACCCACTCCCCGGATTCTTCTGTCTCCACCCACTCCCCGGATTCTTCTGTCTCCACCCACTCCCCGGATTCTTCTGTCTCCACCCACTCCCCGGATTCTTCTGTCTCCACCCACTCCCCGGATTCTTCTGTCTCCACCCACTCCCTGGATTCTTCCGTCTCCACCCACTCCCCAGATTCTTCCGTCTCCACCCACTCCCCGGAGTGACACGGGGTGTCAGGGTTAAATTGAGATTTTGAATCACTGAACCTTTACAAAATTTGACCAGTGGTAAAAGGGAAGCCGACTTGATATAAGATACATACATGTATGTAAATTATCTCTCTTAGTCTGACCTTTGACATCAACCCCCAAAAAGGAAAACTTTGCATGCAGTTTTCCTTTTTCTAGTGAATGTACCGGTACTTTTGATGAATAAACCACTCGGTGTGTTGTGTCCCAGCCAAGTTTGACCCTACATTACCAGTGTCTCTCTATGCATGCGTGTTACTTCTGCCATCCTACAATCTTTGTATTAGGTGACGTCTGGTACAAAGATTGTCAGCATGGTTGGCTGGTGCAAGTCCATGTACATGTACACATACATGCATACTGCCATGCACTTGTATAGCACATATGCACCTACTTTGTTCAAATCCTCTTCCACAGTTGAAGGATCATGGGCAATGTAATTATTATTCTCAACTAACATGAAAGCCATATGTTCACAGGAATAGTTTGATAATGTTTAACCCTAAACCCCAGGGTGTATGTAAAATCATATTGAAGTTGGAGGATTTGGGACTGCTATACCGGTAGCTGAATGCATGTAATTCACCCATATGTACATCTACTATTCAAGAACAATATGAACCAAATTATCATTGAAATTGTGCAGTTCTCACATTCTGTTTTTAAACTGACTCGTACTCAGCGTCCTTGCTCTGGTGATTTTCCAAGGCTTGCAAAGTACCCGCACACTACCACATGTGCTGTGAGAAATTTATGGTTTTTATTTGATTATTTTTTTTTCTGGCATCTACTAGATCATTACAATACCAGATGGGAAGGATGGATTTCAAGATTTCAAGTTTGTGGTTCAGCCACTGCCGGAACCGTCAGGAAGCAGCTATGAATGCATACAGCAGTTCACCAACAGGTGAGAATAACTCCAGCCCTTGTAGATCCTGCCAAATCCACCTGGAGGATTAAAGCTGCATCCAAATCTGTTGTCTAGAGCTAGGTCTCAGTCTTCACTCCATTGGAAATATGCAGAGATGTGTCGACTATAGACCTAGCTGTAGGTCTGGAAGCTCATTTTGGACACGGCTTTAAAAAGAGGAAATGGCAGGATTATAAAATGGTAGGCCGCAGTAAGTAGTGCTTCGCATGAGCTTTGGTGATGTGGGAAAGTGGAAATTCAGAGAATGGGTCATTGGAGTCTCACACAGTGAACGATGGAACATTCCCAACAAGATTGCCTTTATAGATGGAGTTAGAATGAGTGGTTGACCTGCTTCACCTGCTAGAATGTAGGTCCATGGTTCTACCTTGGCATAAATCTTTCATGTGCATCCAGGCACACTTTTAACCCCTTCGTACCGGGAGGCGGCTATAGCCGCCGTAAAAATTGAGATCTCAGCCTACTTTTCAGCTATTTTTCTAGGCCCACGCTCGAGCGAACACAGTGAAAGAAGGCAGACCCTGGCTCTTGTGTATATGGTAATTGGTCTTTGTGTGTAGCTCAGAAATGAAAAGACAGATTTTGCGTCATAATTACCTGCTTCACAATATCCCCCACTTTGAAAAGAGGCAACGGGAATGTGGAAGCTTGAGTAGAGCCGCATGCCACCGAACAATCAGCCTTTTCACCGTGTAATTCAACGCGTGCAGAGCACGCTGGGCCACAAACCGAGAATTTGCAGTTTAGCAGGTGGCCTTTGTAGCCAAGCGAGACTGGAATTCTTGGAGTCGGCTTTCGGAAAGAAATTTCCACCGAGAAGGGGTTAAAAGGTCTTTGACAAAGCACAGCAGTAAAAACATGTCTGGTACATTGTATTCAATGACAGAGGTACGTCCTTCTTTTGTCAAAGAGGTACTCTTCACATTAAATATACATTGTAGACACTTGTTGCTGGCTGGAACACATTCTTTTGCCCAAGCCAATGGAACTCCTACCCAGAGTTTCACTTTCAGTGCTCTACATGTAGTAGAATTCCAGATTGACTCGTTTTTTTTTTTTTTCTTTTCCTGTCCTTACTTTTTGGCATTTCCTAAAAAGCCTCGTGATTATGCATAGCAACAGAATGTCCACAGATGGTTTTTTTTACAGTCACTTTCACTGGGATGTTTTCACTGTCATATTTGTGAGAATGTGTTCAGTGATGCAGAAAGATAATATTACCCTCAGCAGATGTGGAGCATGATTGTAGAGCACATGGGGAAAGTACCAGTATCATATTTTGATAACCAGTGCCATCTGAAGTCTGTATTTTTGAAGTCATCTGTACTCTCCACCACGTTTTTGGTTTTCCGTCAATTGGTACAAATGTCCATATTGTTACTATATTCCGGAGAGGTGCTCATAAGACAGTCCCAAGATCTGCCAGTGGTTGGCTTTCGCTGTTGGGAGGTCGGTAGAAGATGCCTAGTACACATCGATCTCTCTTCCGTGTCTTCACCTCAACCCAGATGAGTTCAAGATCATTCTGTTCAAGATCGGTTCTCCTCTGGCACTGCAGAGAATTGTGACGCCCCATTACATTGGAATCACTGTGCTGAAACTTCTCATTGTGAGATGTTGTAAATGCACTTCACAAAATAATGCTTCAAAATTGCTTTTTCCAGTCAAATTATGTCAGGCAAATTTTCTGTGCAGACAGAAGGAAAATAGTTGCTCTAAATCGAAAGGAAACTTCATGGTGTATCCATTAAATATAAATTATGTGTGACTCTCCAGCTGAGTACACACAAATTCTTGTCAGTAAAAAGAGACACCTGCAATTGCCCTGCTGTATTCTTATCTACAGTTATTTTTCATAGAGGTATTTATGGGAATGAAATTGTCAACAGTCTACATGTATCATTTATGGGGGTTCAAGAAAAAGACTTCGATTCATATGCAATTCCATGTTATTTAGCAACTCTGGCGTGACTTTAGATTTGTGAGTGTGTGAAATTAATGTCTTTGTGGGTTTTGAAAGATGTGGAAGAATCTCGTTTTAGTCTGTTCGGAGTTTGGAAGTGCTTTGCCTCAGTGAAGTGTGGGCAACATGGTATTTTTTCACCCTTTTCAATTCAATTTTTTCCACTGATAGCTGCGTAGAACAAAGAGAGTAAAATAGTCTGCAGCTCTAAGACATGTTGTCTAGTTTCCAAGGTAACAATCTTAGCCCATTTTGTCAAAAGCCTCACCATATTTTCTTACTGGACCGTAGCAGATATACATGTAGCACCTACATTTAATGATTTTATCCTAGCAGAATCTTTCTCGAAGGCCAGACAAGTGGACTTCAGATACAAGCATGCATTTACACCTGAAACACGCCAGTTTTCACCTGTTGCTTCTCTTCGCTGTTCTTTTTTGCAGCAAGGGGGAACCTCATCTGGACTCCATCAGCCGCATACAGACCAAGGTGATTATCTCTGCCACAGACGACGTCTACCAGACCACTCAGGAGAAAATGAAACTTGCCGACGAAGAAATGAAGAAAATCAGGTAAGACTATTTGGGGGGAGGGTGGGATGCACTGGGCATGCTTGTCAGGCTTGTGTTTAAATAAATGGTCTTGTGTTGAGATTGAAAACCTTCCAACCAGTCTATCTCTTCTTTACCAGTGAGGTTACACTTTCAACTTGAGGCGTATAGCAGGAGATTTTGGCCTCTATCCCTTCAAGGCATCAACTGACTTGCTTGTTTTGTCTGAAGAATGACGCTTGTGAAACCATCTGTGTGTCTTGAGTATTCCTGCCCTCCCCTTCATAAATCTTGACGGGTTATTTCAACTCTTCGTAACCACATTCTAAGAGTTTATGGCTCTTTTACGTTTTGATTTCATGACTATTTGGGAGGATATCTTATTCTTTTTCAGCACTAAAGAGGTGAGCCAAAAAGAGCTGAAAGCCACTCGTAAGATCAAACGAATCACCAAGCATCCCAGCCTGCCCACCCACAAGTCGGCCCACTTACCACGCCCCAGCCAGCTCAGCCACTGTAAACCAACCAACACATCAAGTGCAATAAGCAGAAGTAATGGGACCCAGCCTGCCTCCAGTAGAGTATCACATGTCACATCAAAAGGGGCTCCGACTAGTAAACCGACTGCACCCAATAGGTCGTTCAGGTATGGTCAGCCTCAAGTGATTTTTTAACCGTGGCAGTGGCTGCATGCTGTTGCTCAGTCACTGACTTTAAGCCGTAGGCACAGATTTGCTGACGCATTCAGTTATGAGATATAAAGGGCTGTGTATAAAGTGACAGACAGTCCATATTTGTCTTCTCTTAAAGGGGTTGGGGGTTTACTGATAGATGAAGGAACTGATTACTAAAGTTGAACTGTTTTACTTTCTGTGTAATAACTTTTTTAAATTTAATTTAATTTAGTTTTTTTTAATATAATATGTTTTATAATAATGTTTGCATGGCCTCGTGGAAGACCATTTTCGGGTGAATGGGTAACCCTGGGTAAAGATCAGAAAATAAATAAATAAAGTGCTCAATAGGTTTTGTCCTGAAAGGGTATTTTAACCCTCCTATGCTGAAGTCACTCTTTGGGTCATTTGGTGAACACCTCAAAGAAGCACAGCTGTGTCGTGTTGCGCACTGCACCAACAGTCCCTCACAGGAATATCAGATTGCACTT